CTCTGGCTTGGCCACTTGGTGAATAGGTTTTGTGGAGAATAAACGGATCCCCAGGTTGGAGCATCACTGTGTGCCCGGTGTGGGACTGGATGCTAAGTATCCACAGACCCCGCTGCAGTTTCCCACGTTGAGAGGGAAGGCACCATCATTGCAGCACCTCTATCTCCCCCCCCCGCTCCCCTCCCCCATGTGAGAGGGAAGGGGGGCAGGTGAGCCTGCCTGCTGCTAGTAGCCCCCCTGGAGCTGCCTCAGGCTCAGCCTCAGCTCTGCCAAGTTCAGATGGCCGCACCAGAGCAGGATGGACCTCTAACTGTCCTTGGCCAGGTGAAGCCCTTGGGGATCTACGTCCTGGTCAGGACGCTGCTGTCCCTGACAAATTTTTCCATGTCCTCTTTGATGAGAAAGGCGCCGTGTTTTCTACTAGGGCAAGAGGACGGTTTTTCAGTGCTTCTTGGCAGCAGACCCTGCAGCTCTTTGGCTCCCTGGGGCTTTAGCAAATGGAAGGAGGGTGGAGCTGATGGGCCTGCTGGCCACAGCTTCCCTGTAGCCTCTGGTATCCCCAGTTACCCCCTGCTTCCCCCACAGAGTCCACTGCTCCAGGCCTGGAGCCCCTGTCAGGAGTTCATATGCAGGGAGACTCCTATAGTGTGGAGAGTCCTGCCCACCCTACCTGCAGGGAGGGCTAGCTCAAAGGGAAAATGGGAGATGAGAAGGTTACAGATCCTCCCCCACAAACACCTTTTCTATCCCCCAGTGCTGGGAGTGGAGCCTAAAGCTTCTCTCAGATGAGGCCAATGCTGTACCGTGGAGAGACACCCAACCCTCAAACCCTCATTAATTTATTATTATTATTTTTTGTTTGTTTGCTAGAAGGCAGGGTCTTGTTACATAGCCCAGGCTGGCCTCAGACTTGTGGCAATCCTCCTGCCTCAGCCTTCCAAATGCTGGGATTACAAGTATGCATCATCGGGTCTGGCTTCATTACTTTTCTTAAATGTGGAGACCAAACAGCCTGAACAGGGAGGGCTGTCTGTGAGAATTATCTGGGAGGCTTTTTAAAAAATAGCAACATCATGGCCCCGTTCCAGAACAATAATTCTGAATCTCTAGGGGTGAGGGAAGAAAGAGCTTTGCTATTTTTACAAAGCTCACTTGTGTGCCTCCAGTGAAGCACAATTAAGTCCCATGGCCATTCCATGGCAGTGCCAGCTCGGGTAATAACAACCTCCGTGTGAACTACCGTTAGCATGGAGGGCAGTCTGGGGATGGTTTGCTCAGACAGAAAAGGCACCATGAAAACGTGTCATCCAGTTGTTGCTGTCACCGTATCCATGGTAACAGTGGCTAGCTACCCAGTGCCAGATGTGGCCAGACACGGCTCGATGCAGCCATATTTCTGCAGACTCATCTTCAAGATGCCCAAGTTCAGTGAGCCCAGAGCAGCACACTCCGAGGGTGGGCAAGTGTATCAGGCTTCCTCAGACCACCAGCCCCCAAAGCACGACGGAGTCAGTATTGAATGTGAAAACTTGGCCTTACCTTCTGCTTGTCCCACTAGCTCTTACAACTTAATCTGTTTCTCTTCATCTACCTTTGCCTCTGGCCTTTTTTCCTTTCTTTTATTTTATGTCCTACTCCGTGGCTGGGTGGCTGGCAGCTGCCTGACTGCCAAGCCCGGGCATCTCACTCTCCCCCTGGTTCTTTCCTTCTTTCCTTTCCTGAGCCTAGATTCCTCCTGCTGCTTATTCTCTCTGTCTGCCAGCCCCGCCTACCCCTCTACTGCCCAGCTGTTGGCCCTTCAGCCTTTTGTCACACCAATCAGGTGCACTAGGCAGGCAAGGCAACACATCTTTATATCGTTGCACAAACGCAGCATAAACAAACGCAACACACCTTTACACAGTTAAAGTCCTATTCCACAGCATACAAGACTGGAAATTATAATTCTGTCCTTCTAAGATGTGTAAATTTTACTAGCACACTGATTATGCATGTTCGTGAGGCACCATGTAAGGTTTCAGTACATGACTACTTATATAATGAATAAGTCGTGATGATTGGCTCACCTCTCAGGAAACAGGGTCCCATACTTGGCATATGGGAACTTATAGTCCTCCTGCCTCAGCCTTCTGAGTGCTACATTGATGTGTGTGTCACGCACCACACTCTGCCAGAACCTTCCTTTTAAACAAGAGCCTTGCTTGGTTCTGATACAAGGACTCAGTAAGCTCCATGTTGGCCCTCTTGCCTGCACGGACAGGGCCTTCTCAGAGGAGTCTCGGCTTTTAGTGAAGGAAGCTGCTTATCCCTAGAGATCCCCAGGGATTGTCTACTGTCTTGATCTTCCCATTATCTCTTAATCACTTCCAGTCTGGTGGCAAGTCCACCCCCTCATTTTCCCTGGAATCTGTTCTGATGGTTCCTGGGCCTTTTCCTTCCCTGCGAGTCTTAGAATCAGTTTGCCAGGCTCTAAGCTGGGAAAGTCGGTTATAGACTAAAAGAATACGCTTGGTTGGAGGGAATTTTCCAAGACCTTTCCAAAACTCAAGCCTGGTCCGAAGGCCTCAGGAAGCCGGCGAAGTGACCTTCCTGTCCCCTTCAGCTGGCAGCCGACTTGCTCTGGGTCACTGGTCAGTGCCTAGACCGGACCAACGTTTTCTTTCCAGGACTCCTATCTGACCGTTCCCTGCCTTTTCTAGAAAGTCTGCTGGGCTGAACCTACTGGCTCTTAGTGTTGCTGACTCAGGCTGCTGAGGCCATCTTGTCCCCCACTGTCACGGGTGCTCTGGACTTCTGGTCAGGACCCCTTAGCCCGGTGTCTGGGCTTGGGATTTTTGGGTTCCCCCGGGGAGAATCAGTAACCCTTGGGTTCTGCTGCTTTGAAATGGAAATATGTTTTGGAAAGTGGCAAACTGTGATGGTGGCTGCCCAGCTACCCTTGGCCCTCGGATGGCTCATCAGGTGGCAGATTCCTACTGGGAACGTGTTCATGTTCATTGTTCTCGGAGCCCCGCTCCCGCCTCCGGAACCGCCGGGAATTGTTTCCTACGTGTCCAGGCCCCAGGGGAGCGCTCTTTTTCTGTCCCTGCTGTCACTCACATTCCTCCAGGGGCTCAGCTTCCACCACTTCTAATCATCCCTGGAGGACTTGTCCTTTGTTCTTGGATTAAGCCCGGGCAGCTGTCACTCACCCCAGCCAAACTTCACACGGAGCCAGGGCCGCTCCTGAGATTCTTCAGTGGGGAAAACTTGCTGTGTTCCAGGCAGGTACCGGGCCAAGTTTGCACAGAGCAGCGTTTTGCAGAGACAACGGGGAACTGGCCAGGGAGGCCAGGCAGGGTTTCTGCTGGGCTGCGTTTCCATGTTTGGAAGAGAAAGGGTTCTTACGGAGGCCTTGCTTTTGTTACAAGGAGCTGGTGATTCTTCAGATTAGACAGGAAGCTAGGCATCCACAAACGCAGGGGCTATTTGCCTTTCTGTGGTGCTGGTCACTCTGCGTGAGTGCCCTGCTGTGGATGGCACATCTGGTCTCCATGTTGAGCACCTTCCTGTGCAAGGGAACAATCCAGGTCTCAAAGACACATTTTGAAAATCCCTATTGCTCATTCCTCCATTCTATCCCAGGTGGCAGGTAGAGATGGGGGGTTTGGGGGTCTTGTCACCAGCCTTAGTCTGAAGGCTTCAAGGTGAAGTGGAAAGGTTTGGTCTGGGACCAACTGGAGTGCTGGGATGGGTATTTTTAGTTGGATGAGGCTTTAGCCACCAGGCGCCCAAGCAGTAACAGTTTGACCTACAAAACTAACAAGAGTGGCACCTGAGAGACGGCCGCTCCTGAAGGACACCCAGGATGCTGGGCAGTGCTGGAACAGGTGGATGATGGTCTCAGGTCAAACAGCTGTGCCAAAGAGAAGCCCCTCATCTCTATAAGTCTTTCGGGAATTCTCTTGGGTTCTCCAGGAGTCTCCTTGGATCCTGGGCGAACCGGCTTCTTTCCCCATCCAAGAGCTGTGGGATTAAATGTCTTGTCCTCTGCTCTGGCTCCAGGGCCGTTATACACCCTGTGTCTCCCACCAGATCCTTAGCCTGCCACCACACACGTGAGCCCACATGTCACACACTCAACACACGCAAACATATATTCTCAGTCTCACACGCTCACACATTCAAACATAATTACCAGCAGGGATTAGCTTTATTAGGAGAAAGGGTCCTGGACCATTATCATATCTTGAGATGAGAAATCATTTGGAAGGAAATTATGCTAAAACCGTTGTTAACAGGGCCTTCAAGACAAAGAGATGCTTCCCTTCAAAACCTGGACGAGCATCATTAAAAGGAGTAGCTTAAAGTAGGAGTAAAAGAGAAAGCTGTCGTGGATAGGAAAGCATGTCTGTGTACCACACATGCTCACACTTGAATCTCCACACACAGGTCCTCTGGAACAAATCCACAAACAAAAGTAAAAAACACCAAATATATATATTTGGTGGCCTCACAAGAGCGTTTCCTGTGTCTCATGGTGTGCACCACCACCCAGCTGCACGTGTGTGCTGCACTTTTACCTGCATGTGTGTCTGTGTGAGGCTGTCAGGGTGTCCAGTTCACTGGAACTGGAGTTACAGACAGTGTGAGTCACCATGTGGGTGCTGGGAATTGAACCCAGGTCCTTTGGAAGGGCAGTCAGTGCTCTTGACCGCTGAGCCATCCCTCCAGCTCTGACACAGGGCAGTTTTATAGGCATCAAGGATGCTTCGAGCGTCTCGAATATGACAGAGGTCAAGTGCCATGATAGAGCCACCTTTTCCAGGTCGGGGCTCACGGCATAGTGGTGTAACTGTCTGTTCCAGGTAGGCCTTCCCAGTATGCCAACTGCTGGATGCCTTGTGGGTCCCAGCCTTGCTCAAGTCTTCGTGAGTCCTGGCTTGCTATGTAGCCCAAGCTGGCCTTGAGCTTGCGGTGGTGCCTCTGCTGCAGCCCTCACTCTTTCGCTCTATCGGCAGGATTTCCTACGACCCTGCTCGCTTCCCGAGGTACCTGCCTGAAGCCTACTGCCTCTGCCGAGGCTGCCTGACCGGGCTCTTTGGTGAGGAGGACTTCCGCTACCGCAGCGCACCTGTCTACTCCCCGGCCGTAGTGTTGCGCCGCACCGCCGCCTGTGCGGGAGGCCGCTCAGTGTACGCCGAACACTACGTCACCATCCCGGTGGGCTGCACCTGCGTGCCCGAGCCGGACAAAGCCTCGGACAGCGCCAACTCCAGCATGGACAAGCCAGGAGCCAAGCTGCTCCTCGGGCCCAACGACAGGCCAGCTGGGCGCTGATGCCGGGGACTGCCCGCCACCACCCAGCTTCCTGCATCTGTCCTCCACATCGTTCCCCACCCGTGCCGCTGCCCACTTTTTCCCAAGGCACAGCTACACGAGCTTTAAATATATTTGTATTTTTCAAAGTAGACACTACATACCTACGGCTATTTTGAATAGAGGCAGAAACTATTTTCATATTAGTAATTTAGAGCAAGCCTGTTATTTTTAAAACTTCCTTGACATACAAGGAAATCATAAGCATCCAGTTTTCTCCAGTATGGTTCTTGAGCGCATAATTGTGTGCTCACATAACCTTGTTTTAGCTGACCCTGTGCCCTGTCTCTGAGTTCAGCCTGTAGCCAGGGTTCGCCCAGGTGAAGTGGATGCTCCCCATCTGCACCAGAAGACCTCAGGTCCACAGGGGGGGGGGGGGGATTTGAGGGGCCTCCTGGTTCCTGAAACCGAACTCTCCTCTGTTCCTGAGCATATGGATGGTCTCAACTTTCTAGCAATTTAATTCTTTGGTGTGATTCTTCCACTTTTGAAAACCGATGGTCTCGATTCATGGCAGGAGGTGGAACGTGACATCTTAGCCGGTTCTCAGGGAGCTCCAAGCACACAAGGGCTCAGTTTTATGGGCTTTTGGATCAAGCCAAGCCTAAGGAGGAAAAGGGAGGGCCTAGTCTCCAAAGTACTCCAGGCTTTTAAACTGTGAGCTAACTCCTTACTCTCATTTAAGGGGAAAGTCTGCCCCTGAGCACGTTTGTAAAAGTTCAAAAAAATTCACTAAAACAGTGGAAGCTGAAGCATGTGTTGGCTGTGTGCGGTTCATTTCTTCCCAGATTTTGCTTTGGTGAACTTGTTCGGAGTGTTGGGAGGAGCCCAGGCCCTGGGACATTCTAAGTAGGATCTCTACCAGTGACCACACCATCTCCTGACTCACTTCCTGGAAAACATAGGCGTCAGGAGGTCCTTAGGCCACTGGGTACGTGCACAGTGGGACCCATTTCACACACTTACCCTGCACCCATTTGCCTGTCGAATGCTCCTCGGTGCCACCCTCTGGCAAACTTACCAAGGACCCAAAACAATGAGTCCCTAGGACCTTCTGAAGTTGGAACCTTCAGAACCACGAGTCCAAGGGCACCTCTTCCCTAATAATTCTCTCAGGTACTGTGCTCTAGCAGTAGGAAGCTGACGTGGTATCTCTTAGTATGTGCTCAGTTCCTATCACCACGCAACAGCTGAAGACAAGACACAGTCTCTTTCTCAGACTAAGACAAAAGCTGCCTGAGGAGGATGGCGCTGCCGTGTGCCAGCTCCTTTTGGGCTGTTTCCCCATCTGGGAAATGCTGCAGCGCCATGTTAGCCATAGTTCTGTGCTGTGTTAAAATGTCTCAGCAAAACCGGCTTGAAGCAGAAAGCTTATTTTTGCTCAGGGCATCAGCACCAAAGAGGCAGAGGCAGGCGGATCTCTGTGAGTTCAAGGCCAGCCTGGTTTACAAAATGAGTTCCAGGACAGCCAGGGCTTCGCAAAGAAACCCTGACTTGAAAAACCAAAAACAACAATAACAACAAGAAATATATGTAGAGGGAGCTGGAGAGATGGCTCAGAGGTTAAGAGCATTGTCTGCTCTTCCGAAGGTCCTGAGTTCAATTCCCAGCAACCACATGGTGGCTCACAACCATCTGTAATGTGGTCTGGTGCCCTCTTCTGGCCTGCAGGCATACACACAGACAGAATATTGTATACATAATAAATAAATAAATGTTTGTTTGTTTGTTTTTTTTAAAGAAATCTATGTAGAGTTAGTGTTAGCCAAGGTTGGGGGTTGCTGGAATACAATCTCCTGACTACCGAGGCCAGCAGAGGAGGGGCACGAGAACAATCCAGTTCAACATGACTATCCGGTGCTGGTTCAAACTTCTGGAGTCTGATCCTACGTAGTTTATTTTAGGCATCATAATTAAGCATAGAACAATTTGGTGGAAAGTTTCCTAGTGATAATTAACTTGGTCCCGTGTGCAACAAAGCACCAAATAAAGATCCGCCATGACTACATTGAAACTCTTTGTAAAGTACACATGACGGGGTCTGTAGACTGACTGTGTACAACACTTTCCATAAAGATGGGGTCTGTAGGCTGACTGTGTGTGACACTTTCCATAAAGACGGGGTCTGTAGACTGACTGTGTGTGACACTTTCCATAAAGACGGGGGTCTGTAGACTGACTGTGTGTGACACTTTCCATAAAGACGGGGTCTGTAGGCTGACTGTGTGCGACACTTTCTATAAAGACGGGGTCTGTAGGCTGACTGTGTGCGACACTTTCCATAAAGACAGGGTCTGTAGGCTGACTGTGTGCAACACTTTCCATAAAGACGGGGTCTGTACACTCTCTGGGAAAAACAAGCTCACATTAAGGATCTGGGGGAGGATCCCATGTGGTCTCAGCCACACAGAAAGCCAGAGGTCAACAGGCTATTAACCACATTTGCTCCCAGGTGTTTGAAGGAACAATCCTGTGTGTTTAATATTCCAGGTTTCCAGAGTTTATCTGTGAGCACAAGGCCTTCTGCGCCTTCTGTGCCTTCTGCGCGCCTGATAATTTGTTTTTGTGGGTTTTTCTTTGTTGTTTGTTTGTTTGTTTTATTGTGACAGGGTTTCCTGTAGCCCAGGCTGGCCTAGATTTACTCAGCTGAAGATGACCTTGAACTCCTGCTCTTTCTGCCACTCAAAAGCTGGGATTACAGACCTCTGCCACCACACCCAAATCTTTGTTCACCTCCAGCCCCCTTTGGTTTTTTTTTTGAGACACCATCTCTCTCTAGCCCTAGCTAACCTGGAAATCACAGTGTAACCCAGGCTACCTCAAACTTCCCATGGCCCCTCCAACTGCTGAGATTACAGATGTGAGCCCCAACACATGGCAGATCAGTGTATTTTTACTGTACACTTGTTTTGTAAAACTGTAATCATTTGGAACAGCAATCAGAAACCATTCTGATGAGGTGTATGGTGCATGCCTGTAACACCAGCTCTGGGGAGCCTTAGGAGTGTCAAGTATTTCAGGCCCATCTGGGCCACCTGTGGCTATTCTTGGTGGTCACCTTGACTATATCTGGAATTAACTGAACACCCAAGAAGCTAGTCAGGCCTGTGAATTTTTAGTCAGTTGGATCATTTGAGGTATAAGACCCAGATCTTTTGTGGTTGGACAACCCCCCTAACTCTGGGCTACACCTTCTGCTAGCAGCCTATATAAAGGTCACGAGAGACAAGCTTTAGTTTTTTGCCTGCTTGCCCTCAATCTCACTGGTCAGTTCGTCTACCCTAAAGCAGAAGCATCCCTTCACTAGTCGTAGAGCCTGCTTCTTCAGGATTCACGTGGATGCCCAAGCGCAGCTGAGACATCCAGCCTCGAGGACTGAAGAGTGAGTGCATTCTTGGACTCTCTGCCAGGAGACAGTTCTGTTCCCAGAGAGCCTGGCTTATCAGATACACCAGGTGACACATTGTCTCCAAACAACAGTGCTCCAAACCAAACAACTTCGGGCTAGTACCAGCAATTGCACGTTCAGGGGTCAATAACACAAACTTTTAGTTTATTTTCTCATCAATGCGAAGGTAAAAACATAACACAATATTTTTTTCTTAAGATTTATTTAATATGTATCCAGTGTTCTACATGCATGTATGCCTGTATGCCAGAAGAGGGCACCAGATTTCATTATAGATGGTTGTGAGCCACCGTGTGGTTGCTGGGAATTGAACTCAGGGCCTCTGGAAGGAAGAGCAGCCAGAACCTCTGAACCATCTCTCCAGCCCCAATATGATGCTTCTTAGTAACTGGATCAAGCTCTGACTTTAGAAGTGAAGGGGACAGACAAGGGGACAGACTTGTTCCTAAGTCCCCATGTGTTTCAGTTGCTCTTGCAATGGGCTCCCCATCACTTCAGACATCCAGTCGGCATCCCACAAGGAACATTTAGATTCTTCCTCCTTGGGGATGGTTCTTTACAACCTCTGACGTCCTTTGAAGGGTGCGTTCCTTGTCTCATCCGCAGGACACTTAGAGTGGCTCATATTCAGAGGGTACAGTCCCTCACAGTCAGTAGAGCTCTCAGGCAGCAGGTCACATCTCCTGACAGGACACTTTCGCAGCTCACACCTGGTGACTCACTGATGCTAGCTAGGATGCAGGATCCACAACCTCCCAAAGCAGCGCCACCAGCTGGGGACCGAGTGTTCAAACACACGAGCCTGTGGGGGACACTTTCCGTTCAAGCCGCATATACAGTGTGAGCGGCTTGCTGCTCTGAGCATCTGTGCTGCTTGGTCTGTTTGTTGTTGTGATGTGGGCAGAGGGAGAGGACAGAGATGCCTCCTGGGCCAGCCTGCTCAAATTTAACCCAAGCACCTCTACTTGGTTAGACAGGAATGCACCCAACGAGTGTTCCAAGAGCCGAGAAACAGCTGCAGGCCTTTATGAGGTTCAGAAATGGGTCACGTGTGAACACAGAGTTATCACCACTGAGGCAACAGCAAGAGTCCCAAAGCCATCAAGTAGGTTGGCTGCTTCTTAAAGGAGCCTGTTACAGGGCTGGGGACAGCTCAGCTGGTACAGCACTTGCCTTGCATGCAGGGGGCCCTGGCTTCAATCTCCAAAATGGGGGAAAAGCCCAAACCTTTGACATGGTTCCGTAGGCCTAATGGTTCTGACGAGCTAAGTTGTGTCCCGTCTCTTTCCCAGAGTAGTTGCAGCCTACAGGACAGCTTCTTTCTGATTTCCACAGTTCCTAAGCTGACCGTTTCATTTCTACACATACTTTGTCAATGTCTGTTTCTGGCCTAAGGAATTTGTGGCAGATTGATCCACACGGAAACAATAAGGTAGGGGCTGTTGTTGAAAAAGTGCCATGTGTGCCGGGTGTCTCACAGAAGCACTTAGAACAAGGCCGTCCCGTCGGGGAGTGTGACGGCCAAGGTCTAAGGAAGAAGAAGGAGTTCTCTCCTGGTCTCCAAGCATGGACTCTTGTCCCTGGCCCTGACTCTGGATTGGCCAGGACAGGCTGGATTTTGCCTGTAGTAACAAGTTCATCTTCACTGGTACTATCTTAGGGTCACTATTGCTGGGATGAAACATCATGACCAAAGCAACTTGGTGAGAAAGGGTTTATTTGGCTTATATTGCCTGTTGCTCTTTATCATTGAAGGAAGTCAGGACAGGATCCCAAAAAGGGCGGGAACCTGGAGGAAGGAGTTAATGCAGAGGCCATGGAGGGGTGCTGCTTACTGGCTTGCTCCCCACGGCTTGATCAGCCTGCTTTCTTTTTTCTTTTTTCTTTTTTTGGTTTTTCGAGACAGGGTTTCTCTGTGGTTTTGGAGCCTGTCCTGGAACTAGCTCTTGTAGACCAGGCTGGGCTCGAACTCACAGAGATCCGCCTGCCTCTGCCTCCCAAGTGCTGGGATTAAAGGCGTGCGCCACCACCGCCCGGCTCAGCCTGCTTTCTTATAGAACCCAGGACCACCAGCCTAGGGTGGCACCACCCGCAATGGGCTGGGCCCTCCCCTATTGATCACTAATTAAGAGAATGCCCTACAGATTTGCCTACAGCCTGATCTTATGGAGGCATTTTCTCAATCGAGGCTCCTGCTTCTGATGACTATACCTTGTCTCAAATTGGCATAAAACTAGCCAGCCCAGATGTTCAACCACCGGGATCATTTCTCCCCCGCTACAGGTGCTGTCCAAGTCAAGGGCTAGCGACTTCCACTGGAGAATTCCTGTGTGGTGGTAGGGGATGGAACAAGTGACTTGGGTTGGCCAGCTGACAGTCTTTTGGTCAAAGCCAGTCATCGTTTCCCAGACAGACAGGTGGATTTTTTTTTTTTAAATTTTGACATGATTGCAGGTCTCAAAAGTTACCAAGCCACTGGAGGAACCTTATGCACTTACTCTCGTTTCCTGTGAGGGCTGTGGTACAGAAACTGCCGACTTGACTGCTCCACTAGGGGAAAAGGTTTTATTATGGGAAAGAGAGAGAAAATATGCAGAGGCCCCTGGACGAGTTCAGAGCACAGGAAGGAAAGCAGACTGGACCTGGAGGAAGACAGAGGGAAGCAGGAGAGCAGGAGAGATCGTGGAGCTGGCAAGATGCCCAGAAAAGACAGCAGGAAAGCAGACAGCATGGCCAGGGCTAGGGAGGGGAGAGAGCAGTGCAGACAGCGAGATGGAGCCCAGTGAGCAAGCACCGTGCAAGTAGGAGACAGTGAGGGAGCTGGGGTGGATGATGAGAATAAGTAGCCGCGGCAAAGACT